TGAAAATGGGTACTTTTCAGGAGAGCAAAAAACCTGTTGTAAAAATGTTGTCATTAGGAAAAAGTGTGGTATTCGACACTTTGTTAAAGCCAGTATCCTCTGCTTCTAAACGCAGGCGCAAGGTATCGCAATTAAAAAATCATTTTTGCACATTCGATTGCTTGACATGGTTACGACAATATGTGGACAATGAATTACGAACGGTATTCAGATGTTTATATTTTTATAAAATGTAAGTAATTCAATAGCATAAGCCATACTAATAAAGCTTCAAACTTTGTACAAGATTGAATTAACTTTATTTTTTGTAAAAAAAAATATTAAAATTAACAAGTAAGAAAGTCTAAGTTCGGGCGGAGCCGAACACTAAATACCAGGCGCAAATATTAAATATATGTTTTTCACCTTTCCGACAGCTACCGCTACATGGTAAGCCGGGGTGTATCAATTTTGAGTAAATTAGCGTCCTTAGATTTCGAAATATTGAAGTTTCAAGCATTTCTAAAGTTTACCGTTATATGAAAAGCCGCAATTTTAGTCCGATGTCAATAATTTTCAACGTTTTGCTTTTATGTGGCAAGCACAATAACCATAACGAGTTTGGTACAAATTGGTAGAACGGTTACCGAGATACATATATGTGATCATAAGTGGGTGGTGCCACGCCCATTTTACAAAATTTTATCATAAACGTATTTCTTGGTAGAGTTGTTACAAGCGTCAATTTTGAATAAAGTAGCTTTAATATTTACTGATTTATCAAAGATTTCGTATTTCTCCAAATTACCGTTACATGGGATGTGGGCGTGGTTCTTGTCCGATTTTAAAAATTTTCGGCCATTTGGTATCCTGTACCAAGACCAATAACCGTGCCGTGGAAGAAATCGGTGCAGCGGTTGCCAAGATATACACATGTAACCATAAGTGGGCGTGGCTACGCCCATTTTTCAAAAATTTATAATATTCTTATTTTTCCTCTTAAAAGTATTGTAAATATCGATTTTGAGTGAATAATCTTCAGTAATTACTAAAATATCGCAGTTTTTGTATTTCTGAAAATTACCGTTATATGGGAGGTGGGCGTGGTTATTGTCCAATTTTGCCCATTTTCAATACCATCCGTCCTTCGCCAGAAAGAAGTACGCGTACCAAGTTTCGTTAAGATATCTTAATTTTTACTCAAGTTATCGTGTGCACAGACGGACGGACGGACAGACAGTCACCGCTTAATCGATTTCTCTTTTCATCCTGATCATTATACCCGAGCGCACTTGTGCACAAGGGTATTATAACTTTGTTCACATAACGGTTGTTTGTAACAGGCAAAACGAATCGAGATAGATATAGACAAATGTATACATAAATGATCAGAATGAAAAAATAAATCGATTAAGCGGTGACTGTCTGTCCGTCCGTCCGTCCGTCTGTCCGTCTGTGCACACGATAACTCGAGTAAAAATTGAGATATCTTAACGAAACTTGGTACGTGAACTTCTTTTGGGCGTAGGACGGATGGTATTGAAAATGGGCGAAATCGGACAATAACCACGCCTACCTCCCATATAACGGTAATTTTCAGAAATACGAAAACTGCGATATTTTAGTAACTACTGAAGATTATTCACTCAAAATTGATATTTACAATGAGTTTTAGACGAAAAATAAGAATATTTTAAAATGTTGGCAAATGGGCGTAGCCACGCCCACTTATGGTTACATGTGTATATCTTGGTAACCGCTACACCAATTTCTTCCAAACTCGGCACAGTTGTTGGCCTTGATACATCATACTAAATGGCCGAAAATTTAAAAAATCGGACAATAACCACGCCTACCTCCCATATAACGGTAATTTTCTGAAATACGAAAACTGCGATATTTTAGTAACTACTGAAGATAATTCACTCAAAATTGATATTTACAATGAGTTTTAGACGAAAAATAAGAATATTTTAAAATTTTGGAAAATGGGCGTAGCCACGCCCACTTATGGTTTCATGTGTATATCTTGGTAACCGCTGCACAAATTTCTTCCAAACTTGGCACAGTTGTTGGTCCTGGTACAGCATACCAAATGGCCGAAACTTTTTAAAATCGGACAATAACCACGCCCACAATCCATATAACGGTAATTTCGAGAAATACAAAATCTTCGATAAATCAGTAAATATCAAAGCTAATTTATTCAAAATTGATGGTTGCAACAATTCTTTACCAAGAAATACGCTTATGATAAAATTTTGGAAAATGGGCGTGGCACCGCCCACTTGTGATTACATATATGTATCTCGCTAACCGTTCTAGCAGTTTGTACCAAACTCGGTATGATTATTGTGCTTGCCACATAAAAGCAAACCGTTGAAAATTGTTGAAATCGGTCTTAAATTACGGCCGCTTTTCATATAACAATAAATTTCAGAAATGCTTGAAATTTCAATATGTCGAAATTTAGGGACGCTAATTTACTTAAAATGTATACACCCCGGCTTATCATGTAGCGGTAGCTTTCGGCAAGGTGGAAAACATATCTTTAATACTTGCGCCGGGTATTTAATGTTCGGCTCCGTCCGAACTTAGACTTTCTTACTTGTTTATGTATACATTTGTCTATATCTATCTCGATTCGTTTTGCTTGTTACAAACAACCGTTATGTGAACAAAGTTATAATACCCTTGTGCACAAGTGCGCTCGGGTATAAAAACAAAACGGATAAACTTGAATGTATGAATATCTGAGGACCGTTCGAAATGCCACACCGTGTTCACTGTAATAATATTCTCTTGTTCCTCCTTATACAAGGTTAAAAAACAACGATCTCTATTTTTATACATTGTAGTTGTATGTAAGATGTTGTTCTTTATGTACATACGTACATATGAATATGAAAGTGATTATATGAATTTTCTGTTTTTGCATTAATCTATATATATAAAAATGGTGTGAAAAATTTATAGTAATTTATCAATTGAGAACGGTTTGACCGATTTGGCTTAAATTTCTTTTTAGTTGTTCGTAATTGCTAGGAGAAGGTTTTTACGAAAGAAAATTGTGGGAAACCCCTCCGGGAAAGTCGGAAAATTGGAAAAATCGAAAACTGATTTTTTTTAATGGAATTTTGTGTGCAATTCCTTCGGAATGTCATTCGAATGGAAAAATAGAAAATTCTAAGTGGAAAACTCGGAAAAATCCGGAAGAACGCAAAAAATTTGAATTTTTTCGACGAAAACTTGGAAAATTTCGGATAATTGTGAAATTCATTGGGAGCTTGAATCAATTGGGAATAATTTTCTCCTATGTTTCATAACTGATTCGAATGGGTGCTGCTTTTTTGGAAACGTGTTTAGAAGAAGGAGTGCAAAAAGTTTTAATTTTTCCGATAGTTGGCGCAGGGGTCGAGCTATGCTTAAAAATATGCAATTGGTTCATTGGTAGCCTTTTGCCTAGATTAGCATATAGGATTCATTTTTTACCTCCCTTTTATTAGCTCGGGATGTAACTATGTAATATTGATGCGCCTAAAAGATGCAGCGGTTTCTGTTCTCAAGTTACATACCTGATGACAGTACGAATGGAAATTATAATAGAGGTTTTAGTTTTTTAAACTATAATTTTATTCCGTTAAGTGGGTCAGAGATCGAACTATTCGAAGCAGTCTTATTAATGGTCCGATTTGCTTGCAATTTAGCACGTAGGTAGCTTATTGGCTGGGTTAACATATATGATATTTTTTTCTGATAGGTGGACCAGAACCGATCAATTCCAAAAAAATCTTCAATCGAATCGAGTCATTGTTTTCCAGTTCGAAAGGTGTTTGAAGGCGCCGCAACCATGCGGGTATTGGCTATTTAACAATACTTATTACACAGGCCAACAAAAATGGAAAAAAATTTGAAGCAGCAAATGTTAACGCTATTTTTGACAGATTTTTTTGTGCTGATTACGAATCCGTAAGCAAAAAGTTACCATCAGCTCCATATTTTAAGAAAAAACGAGGTCAAGTTGTCAAAAAATCGAGTTTTTTGCATTATTTGAGAAGCTCTAGCAACGAAACAAAGGGTGGTAGAACCTTCTACTTATGCTTTGATTAAAGCAAGTTCCCGCACCTTTGCTTGATGGTCACTTAGGGCTGGTTTCTCCAACTCAACTTAACTTAGTTTAGCCACTTTTGGACTTAAGTCAAAAGCTAGCCTACGTTTTACACAGCTTATTCTTGACTGAGTCGAGAAAATTGGCTTAACTAAGTTGAGTTGGAGTAACCAGCCCTTATAGTCATTTGTTAAACAGGAATAACTAATTTCGGGAAGTTTGAGTTCCTACCGCAATTAAGCAAAAGGTGTTAGAACCTTCCACCTAGGCTTAAATTAAAGCTAGAACTACAGACTACCATCCCTGAAAGTACTATTCCTGCACCTAGCCCTAATGGTCACCTATACTCATTTACTTTTTATCGTCATAAATGATGTAAAAATCAGTGTTAGCTGTTAAATAAATGACTATAGGTAACCTTAGGGTCAAGGTGCAGGAATGATATTTTCAGGGATTGAAGTCAGAAGTCCAAGCCTTAATTTAAGCCCAAGTGGAAGGTTCTATGACCTTTCGTTTCATTGCTAGAGCATCTAAAATATTGCAAAACACGCGATTTTTTTACTCATTCACCACATTTTTCTCAAAATCTGGAGCTGATGGAAACTTTATACTTACGTATTCTTAATCAGCAAAAAAAAAACCTATTAAAACCAGGTTCAACATTTGCCGCATCAAAATCGGTGTTGCCCTGTGTTACCTAGACTAATTATATAAAGAGAAGCTCCTTCTTTTTATAAGAGTGATCTCGCGAACGGCTGTACCGATTTTT